TGTCTCTCTCTATATATATAATGAGAGAAAGAGAGGGACCTACTTACTCCAAGAGTAAGTTTATTTATACTTACTTCACTTAATAACTCATATTCTACATCAAATTTTAACGATCTAATTGTTAAATTAACATTCTTAATGTATAGATCAAGTATATAAATTTCTTAATAAATTGTAAATTATGTGATGTTATATTTCATTAATTCAAATTGATGGCTAATTATAAAAATATTTATACATTGATTTAAATTAATGAAATGGAGTATCAAATAGTTTTCAAATTTCTTTAAAATTTGCAAACTTGATCTATGTATTAATAATTTTAAATTCAAAGGTTGAACTATTGAAATTTGATGTAGAACATGAGTTATTGAATGAAGTAAGTCTAGATAGACTTACTCTTGGAGTAAATGGATCCCTTTATATGTTGAATTAGTGAAATGAAGTATCAAATAATTTTTAAATTTTTTAAAAATTTGCAGACTTGATCTATGGATTAAGAACTTTAAATTCAACGGTTGGATCATTGAAATTTGATGTAGAACATGAGTTATTGAATGAAGTAAGTCTAGGTAGACTTACTCTTGGAGTAAACGGATCCCTCCTTATATATATAGAGAGAGACACACACACACACACGCATGCACATTAAGAGTCTTTAATTAATGGTTGGATTTTTGAAATACAATGTAGACCATTAACTATCATTAAAATTAAATTATAATAAATTATACATATGAATAATTACCATACATTTCAATATATAAATTAAACCAATATTTAGTAAAACCTAATTATATTGCGAGTTTGCGACACAAAATTATTCATTTTTGATAATTTATTTTAAAATTATTAAATTTAATTTAAAAATATGTATTATAAATACGAATTAAAATAAATAAGAAAGTTAAAAAAATTTCATATACTCTAATTAAAAAATGCCTAAAAATGCAATCACTAAAAAGAAACTTCCAAAAATTTAATGTACAGGATAGTTATTGGTATTAATATATAGGAGTGAGTATAACTATTTTTTATTATAAGTTAAAATCATCAGTAATGATTTAGTGTCTCGTTCTTACAAAAAAAATGGGCAAAAAGAAAAAAATGATTGATACTCAACAACTGTATTATCATCATCTTTAACCAAGTTATTTAAATAATTTTTTAATTTATATTTAGTGATTGAATTGTATTCAATCATTAAGTTTAAATAATATTTTGTAATTGAATACAATTTAGTTGCTATGTGTGAATTGATTTGTATTTATTAGTCACTGAAATATAATTGGTCTCTATTTAATATTAAAATTTCTTATTTAGTGACCAAATTTGATTCGATCGCAGCTTTTTTTTATAATTCAGTAATAGATTGGTCGTTAGTTTCATTGCAAACTATGTGCTCATGAAAACACAATAAAACAATGACGAATATAGCAAATTATGGTGATCGCTAAATTGGTCGCTTAGTGACTTTAATAATTACATTGATAATTAGTCACTAAATCAGTCGCAAGTTAGCAACAGATATTTTTCAGTCACTAATTTTAGTTGCTATTTTACACTTTTCTTCTGTATTTGTATAAAGTAACGCTTGAATTATGGAAATTGTCACACATGATTTATTTTTTATATATATCTATATTATGTTCATTTATAATTCTAATTAAAAAAACTTAAAATTCATCTCAATTTTTTAATATAAATTTATATTTTAAGAATGAAATGAAATATATTTTACATTCTCTCTTTCTTAATTATATATATAGTAATAATAATATTATTTTTATTTTATAACATGTACTTTATAAAATATTATCTCCCATTTATAACACACATTATTTTATTATGAAATGGATAGTAGTCAAAAGATAGCCACATAGTGTACCATGCCATTATGAAATAAATTAATAATATAAAATAAATCAAATAATAAATATTTTAATTTAAAATATCAATTTAATAATTTAAAATGACAACTAAAATAAAATAAAATAAACTTAATTGCTATCTCCCTTTTCTTCTCTCCTGTCATAAGGCATAGCGAATGGTTAGAGGATTTCCATATTCCAACATTCAATTACTTTAAAGTTATTTAATTTATTGTCTTATAAAAGTTTCAATACATTTTTTTTTTCAATTGTGTAATTCTGAAACATTTAAAATACTTAAATTAGTCCTTAATATTTTAAAATTTGACTTTTAGTCCTTTTAATTTTTTTTGTCAATTTTTAATATTTTATTAATTTTTTTATCACATAATTCAGCATTAAGATTATGTTTTTTGGTTAAGTAATATTGTGTACTAATAATTTTGACTTATTATTGATATACATATAATTGCTTAGTGATGGCAAATCATATATTATATGTAATTTAAAGAAATTTGAATGAGATGAAGTGAAATTTACTTCTAAATTTAACATTCAAGAAAAGGACAATGCATGGATAAGGTGCATGAATCATTTGGTGCTGCATGAGATAAAGAAAAATGCCAATTATGAGGCAATTAAAGGCACAGGTCAAGACGTTGATTTGGCTACTAAATTTCTTTGTGCTAATAATCATGAGTTAACGCCTGTTTCTATGCCATGTCCAAAATCTTTTTCACGTGCAAATAAATTTTGATGCAGTATATATATCTATATTATGTTCATTTATAATTCTAATTAAAAAAACTTAAAATTCATCTCAATTTTTTAATATAAATTTATATTTTAAGAATGAAATGAAATATATTTTACATTCTCTCTTTCTTAATTATATATATAGTAATAATAATATTATTTTTATTTTATAACATGTACTTTATAAAATATTATCTCCCATTTATAACACACATTATTTTATTATGAAATGGATAGTAGTCAAAAGATAGCCACATAGTGTACCATGCCATTATGAAATAAATTAATAATATAAAATAAATCAAATAATAAATATTTTAATTTAAAATATCAATTTAATAATTTAAAATGACAACTAAAATAAAATAAAATAAACTTAATTGCTATCTCCCTTTTCTTCTCTCCTGTCATAAGGCATAGCGAATGGTTAGAGGATTTCCATATTCCAACATTCAATTACATTAAAGTTATTTAATTTATTGTCTTATAAAAGTTTCAATACATTTTTTTTTTCAATTGTGTAATTCTGAAACATTTAAAATACTTAAATTAGTCCTTAATATTTTAAAATTTGACTTTTAGTCCTTTTAATTTTTTTTGTCAATTTTTAATATTTTATTAATTTTTTTATCACATAATTCAGCATTAAGATTATGTTTTTTGGTTAAGTAATATTGTGTACTAATAATTTTGACTTATTATTGATATACATATAATTGCTTAGTGATGGCAAATCATATATTATATGTAATTTAAAGAAATTTGAATGAGATGAAGTGAAATTTACTTCTAAATTTAACATTCAAGAAAAGGACAATGCATGGATAAGGTGCATGAATCATTTGGTGCTGCATGAGATAAAGAAAAATGCCAATTATGAGGCAATTAAAGGCACAGGTCAAGACGTTGATTTGGCTACTAAATTTCTTTGTGCTAATAATCATGAGTTAACGCCTGTTTCTATGCCATGTCCAAAATCTTTTTCACGTGCAAATAAATTTTGATGCAGTGAAATTATTATTATTATTATTATTATTATTATTATTATTATTTTGAGTGAAAGTGAAATCAGATTGCTTTGTTTAGGTG